AATAAGTCTCAATGCTGAACATGAATTTCCACCGAGGTCATGTGATATTACGCCGTGTGATTTCTTTTTGTGGCCTTACCTTAAAAACACTATTTTTGAACTGCCTATTCCTGATTTAAACCATCTGCAGGCTCGACTTATAGACAAGATTCGTGAAATTAACAATACCCCGAGCATCTTAGAAAATGTCTTTAATTCTTTGAGGAACAGGTGTGAAAAGTGCTTGGAACAAGGAGGGGGACACTTTCAGCAGCTGCTTTAATTTATTGTTATAACAAGGAGGGGGACACTTTCCGCAGCTCCTTTAATTGTTTGTTATTGTTATCACGATTATTCTTTAAAATAAAGTTATATAGTCATTAACGTTATTGAAACTGACAGCTGCTATACAGCTCGGTGAGAAATGAGGTTAAGTTGGTCGCTATAAGCTACTCCCTACGTCCAATGTGTCAGAGCCAACTTCGACCACGTTTTTATTTGAACGCTCGTTATATCTTAGCTGCATTTCACATTATTTTATTGTCCATAAACGACAATTATAGTGAAATCTTTGTTCTTTGAGAGTGCCCATAGTAGGATCTATGTGATTGGAACGGTTGCATTGCTAAAAAATCTTAAAGTTAATTTTTATGGATTTTTGCATATTTCTCATAAATGACTAGAATTACAGCAAAAACGTAACACAGCACTTTAAATTAGTTACTATTTGTACCTTCTCACTTTTTTCATCTCTACATTTACGGTTAGAGAAATACAACTATAAAATTACGCCTACAAGATATTAATCAGCTTATTACGCCAGTTAACTAAATTTTCGTGCGGAATTCTGATCCCAGATTCGCACGATTCAATATGCTGTAAATTATTAAAACCGCACCTAATTACAGCAGGCAATCAGAGTAGAAACGTTACGGAAATGTAAACCCTCATCTAATTGTGGAGGGACTTTGCCTTCCTGTCCCCAAGAAATTGGCAGATCATCTTCAAACGGTTATAAACTTGATGAATAATTAAATGACAAACTGTGAGATTTTCGATAATTGTCACTTAAAAACTTTTGTATCCTGACGGCCCTCAAGGTTCAGTTCTGGAGCCACTTTAGTTTAAGTGAGTGAAAAATGACATCTTGAATGCAACGATTGGTTTTATTTTTGAGAAATCGTTTGCAGCGACAAGGTTGTTGTTTAGCAAAGCCCATTATTGTTATATTTTTGGACTCGCTATAGACGAATTTGAAGTTTTTAAGCAAATGTCCAGTAATCCCTCAAAAATGGGTAATAATGATTCAAAACCGCAGTAAAAATTCCCCACGACTTCACAACGCATATTTTAATTTTTTTATTAGGATTTAAATTAAAAAAGAAAAAAATTTTTTGAGATGTAAAGTTTTAATATATCTTTTTCCGTGCTGTAGATATTTTAGGTGTGTTGTATTAGTTTTCTAAAAGTACTTTTCCTTATATCTATCGTCTTTGGAACCGACAGTACACGGATACGGAAGCCCACAGGATCCCTGAGGTGCCCCTCTTAAATTGTACCCTGTCAAATTTCCCACTCGTTCTATTCAAACGAGGTGTCGCCGGTCGGACGGACAGATAGCTACCTATTCTCCTGGGGCAGATCCCCCTTGCTGTGGGCGGTAGCGAGTCGTGGGTACAGAGGCAGGTGTACGTGTTGTTGTTCTGGGGCCTGCAAGCCGTCTCTCCTTTACACACCTCCATGGTGCAGGAGCCGGGGTAGCTGACTGGAACGCGTGCATCTGCAACAAAAGGAACAGTCACTTATTTGTTGGAATTAGGAAAAGAGACTTTTTTCTACTTGTACAAGTTGACATACAATATATCCAAAAAACTTGACTCATTTTTAATTTTAATTAATGCGAAACAACATACACTAGCAATAAAATTAAACCGCGAATGATACGCACGAAATGAAAGCTATTATGAAATTTTGAAATACCTACGCGTAAAAATTAGGCCAGTAAACAGATTATTTACTTATTTTTATTTATTTCATGTATCTTTATTTATTACTGCGTTCTGTTAGATTTTATTTAAAAAAATTAAATGTTTCTTTGTGTGGGATAATAAGCTTCCTCCTAAAATTTCCTGCCTTCCCTAAACACCTCTACTTGAATGACGAATACAAACTTGAAATACTTTTTACTTTAACACCCTGTATCTTTGCAACTAGTGGCTTCAAACACTTGCATCGAACATCTTGTATATTGAATTTGGCGAAACTAATGACCCACCGTCTGCATTTTCTTGTCGTTAATAGTAACTATATTTTTATACCCACATAGCCCTTTTTTGTTGAGATTTTTATCAAATTTCGATTTAAATGGTAATGCACACCCCAAGCTTGGCTAAAAAAAGCGTCAGTTTAAATTACGCTTTGAATAAAAAAAGCTTTGGTTGGCTTAAATGGGATTCAAAACCTTTAAAAAAGTGTAATAAGGCAATATTAAATGTAGTCAAGTTTATCCCTGAACGCAGACAGAAAATCTGTTGCCTTATTGAAGTAGATTTGCTTCGATTTATCGAAAAAAATGATTGAATTGATAGAAAAAAATGTGCTGTATTTATAAAGTGTATAGAAGTATTACACTTTTCTGTTCAGACCAAAGAGTAGCGTAAATTCAACAAAAATTATTGAATAAAAGTATCATATTTCAAATATAACGATACAGGTCGAGGATTGAATATACAAGCGACTTTTGCAGGTGAGGACTATTTCCAGAGAAATTGTAATTACAATTATATTCATTCCAAGGGCTTCGCCAGCCAATGGGCTAGGGAGGGGGGAGGGGCAAGATAAGAGAGAGGATGGGAGAATATAAATTATAGGTAGAAATAGGTACAGTGAATTAATTTTTTTGAGAAGTATTTTTGATAAAACCTCTTTAATACAAGAAAAACATAAGAAAAGGTATAAATATCTAAAAAAATAGAGAAATTGAACGAAAATTGGTGCGTTGGTAGCTTTATAGTCTAATCAATAGGTAGAAGAGCTTACAAAAAATACCTCCAGGAAAAAAAATTCTAAGAAAGATGATGTTGTTTGTTTGTGGTGCATAAACGGCGAAGTTAACCTAAAAAATTCACAAAAGTCAAAAAATAGGTTTTTTGGTAATAAAGAAAAACTCCAATCGAAAAAAGTTAAATAAGAAAGTTGTAGCGATTTTGCTGTATCTCTTGGAAATTAAGGTTTTGAAACTTGTTACTTGCTGTAAATGTAGCCCTCGGCAAGCAAAAACGTACCTTTTTTTTAATTAAAAAATATTAAACATTTTTCGAGATATCGATTTTTCGAAAAAAATGTCATCTCGAAATTTAGCTCTTTGTGCTCGACGAATAGTCGTAGAGGAACGAATCAGGGCTAATTTTTCCTTAAGAGTTGTACTTTCATGGCAAAAAACAGTGATAACGATTTTATTCATTTGATGGCTCCAAAAATGACTGAAAATAGTAAAAAATTTTTTGGTCGCGTTTTTCTTGAATATTATATTATTACATGAATCGTTTGCTGGCATTTTTACGCGAATTTAAAAAGAAATCGTTGCTCTACGACCTTCTGGAGCCGAGAAATTGTGTTTTTCTTTAATTTACTCGATATACGCATTCTACTGATCAGTTCTGATCGCAGATATTCCACCATTGAGAAAACATGTCAACAGAAGAACCCCTCACTATCGAAATCGTGCAATCGATGACGAAAACAAAGTCATCCCGTCATCATGCGTTGCATCGCGAAACGACACAACACGTCCACAACCACATCTGATTTTTTTGCGAAGTCGCGTTCGAATCAAAGAAAATAAAAAAGGGGAATAACATCGCAGATGCACTGATTGTGCGCAAAAAATTAATAAGCGGCGACTGGTTTGAGATGCTGCTGAAAGAGCCTTATTGTCTCAATAACCCACTTGTCGGCGATCTGTGAAGCCACTCTAACATATTGCTTCATAATTAAGGAGTGAGGGCCACGCACTGTAGCACTACGGACCCGTTTGATCGGCCACATCTCTGAAATTCATAAGCGGGCGGTCGAGAAAAGAAATCTCAGTGCGAATTGGCCTGTCAAATTTGACGTTCCGATAGTAGGACTTGTGTGTTGTGTAATCTCATTTGCATTTCGTGTCACGTGTTTCAGAATAATTAGTTTTGTCCAACAGTAGTAGTTTTTTAACTTAAATGATAAAAAACTAATTTTCTAATTTTCGTTTTAAATTTTTTGACATTGGGATTACTTCCGCCAAAATCTAGAGAAAAAGACAAGGAACATTTGTTGTGTAAAGCATAAGAGACAGAAAATCCAGTACAAAAAAACTTCAAAAATAAAAAATAAAAAATTAAAATAAAAAATAAAAAATAAAAAAATTAAAAATTAAAAATTAAAAATTAAAAATTAAAAATTAAAGATTAAAAATTAAAAATTAAAAATTAAAAATTAAAAATTAAAAATTAAAAATTAAAAATTAAAAATTAAAAATTAAAAATTAAAAATTAAAAATTAAAAATTAAAAATTAAAAATTAAAAATTAAAAATTAAAAATTAAAAATTAAAAATTAAAAATTAAAAATTAAAAATTAAAAATTAAAAATTAAAAATTAAAAATTAAAAATTAAAAATTAAAAATTAAAAATTAAAAATTAAAAATTAAAAATTAAAAATTAAAAATTAAAAATTAAAAATTAAAAATTAAAAATTAAAAATTAAAAATTAAAAATTAAAAATTAAAAATTAAAAATTAAAAATTAAAAATTAAAAATTAAAAATTAAAAATTAAAAATTAAAAATTAAAAATTAAAAATTAAAAATTAAAAATTAAAAATTAAAAATTAAAAATTAAAAATTAAAAATTAAAAATTAAAAATTAAAAATTAAAAATTAAAAATTAAAAATTAAAAATTAAAAATTAAAAATTAAAAATTAAAAATTAAAAATTAAAAATTAAAAATTAAAAATTAAAAATTAAAAATTAAAAANATATTTAATAAAATAAAGAATAAAAAGTAAAATAAAGAAATAGGAAAACTTTTAAATAAAAAGGATTTAGTTACTAGAGACTGAAATTTGATTTTAATCACTATAAATTACAAATTATTTCCCGTTTCTTCATCAATATCATTCCACATTTTTCCGAGCACATTTTCAAGAGAGACAAGTACGATGCTTTAGAAGTCGTCTACTGATATTATCACTGTACTATACCACTTTGCAAGTGCTTTGAGCGATAACGAAAATTGTTTCTGCTGCGAAAATCTTTAAATTCAAACCGACGTGACCCTTGCCTGCAGACATAAACATAAATTATAAAGTATAATATCCTATTTGCTAAGTGGAAGTTTTGAATGTTTGTACTAATTCTGTTTAATAGACTGTACCAGTGAAACAAGTCAACACGTTATGAAAACTGCATACAAATAGTTTGTTCAACTGTTAGCTGTGGGATGATAATTTAACAGCTATACAATGCGCTTGATGCTGATGTGCTACTAATTTGCATTTGGAAAAACAACTAACAAATAAAAAGTTGAAAAAATATTTTATACAGATCTTATTTATGCTATACCTATTGGAGGCTGATTTCCTCTTGGAAAAATAGTGATGGTAGTTCATAGTATGTCTTTTTAACGTTATTAAGAGATTCAGTACAATTTGTCAATAGAATTTTATTTGTCAATGTCAGCTGTTCTTCTTACGACAGTGAGAACTGCTGTACAGTTTTCCTGTAGAGAATTAAGTATTTTCGATGTAACGTCTCGAGATACCAAGAAGTAGATAAGTGGTATGTTTATAAATTCCACGATTATTATATTTACAAATCCGAAGGGACATAAACAAAGGTCAAATTGATAATTAGATAATAAATTATTATTGTTTTATCGTAAATTTGTCAACAGAATCCTCGGCGCATATGAACGCATACAGTCGTAAATAATCTCCAATAAAAACGTTATAGACCCGGTGGTATTTTAGATAATATTGTGTTGTTTTAGGTTAAAGGCTTCCGTGTTGAAAAACTATCTTCCTGGTAAAGATGTTAGCAGTATGTGTTACAATCGCATACACTTACTGGTGTAGAACAAGATCGTATCTAGCTCGCTATCGGCTGACAAAGTCATATTCGTAGAAACTTTATTACAAAGTACGAAGTAGCAAATAATTGGAAGACACAATGCGTAATGTGACGAAGGCTTTTCGAAGTAGAACCAAATAGCAGCAACAAAGCTGTTTGCAGTAACGTGATTATTGTACGCGATGGTCACTAGTAACTCTGAAACTGAGCTGAATTTCGTCGTGATGGGTGGTTTGTTGTGGTGTTGCAATCAAAATCTGCGTCGATATCCAGTTGATGTAAACTCGTTATATTTTGACCCTAGGGTTATCTCCAGTATTTTTGAAAATAAATGCTCAATCACAAAAATGATCTGCATTTAATTAATTTAATTTTCATAATTTCAATTATTACACTGGCGTACTTTTTAGGATAGTCTCTGTTGATGATAGAAATGTGCCAGAAGAGTAAACTGTTAAAGAAGTATAATATGATAAAGAATTTGAAATCTTGAAAGTACAATTAAAAAAATTGGCATTTAGAGAAAATCTAGTAGTCCCCGGATTCGCAATTTTAAAGGATTTTTTTATTTTAAGGGATTATAGCTGATGCCAAAATAACACTTACTCTAATAAACGTTTTATAGTAACAAAGATAATTACATTTACAAGTTAATGAGGTTTCTGATAACGATA